TGATGAGGCTCAAACGGAGCATTGGAGACGCAGCTGCGAGTGGTGGTTTGTGGCGAGGGTGGCCGCCCTGACGTGCTGCCAGCGTGCGGTGCCTCGCGAGGAGGGAGGGCGGGAGCCCGCAATTTGTCTCGTCGACTTGTTGCAGGCGTGACGGTGGCGGCGTGCAGGCCAGTGAGTGGTGTGGTGCTGAGGGTGCCTGGGAAGTGTGCGGATGGATTCCTGCCCAGCAGCTGCACGTGCCGGCGTGTCTCTCCCGCTGTGGATTTGACGGCGGGGGACTATCTGGCAGCGTGGGGTGATGCGTGCCGGCGGAGAAGTCGCCGGGAGTTAGCTGGAGGGTGTGGGGAGGTGCAGCAGTGAAAGACGGGCTGCAGCGCGTAGGCACCGCGAAGGGCGGTTGTGCTCCTTTGCATCCCGCTGGTTGATGTGTGTGTGTGTACTTCGCTTGGTGTGTGCTGACGCGTGACGAACAACACACCCGCCGTGGCTCCTGCTGGTGGTGGCCGTCGCTGTGTATACCGGTGCAATGTTCCTACTCCTTGTTCCGTGTGTCTATGTGCGTGAGTTGTTGTGGTTGGGAGTGACCGCGACGAGGATCATGATGCCACTCACAGTGTGGATGGCGGTGGTTACTGTTTCACCTCTTTACTTGGCTTTTTTTCTTTTTTCTCTTCCCTCCTACATGCACACACGCTGGGAAAGCAAGCAAACAATCGCTAAACGCTACTGTGAAATTGTAAGGCACTGAAAGAACCAACAGCACACACACCGCCCACACACACATATTTATATGTTCTCACGTTTTGTTGCAGTCAAGGCACCCCGCACAAACAACCGTCGCCGCGTGACCGGATCCAGCGGAAGGAGGAGGGAAGGAAGAGAGAGTGAGCCGCAGAGGCCCAATATCTCCCGGCATGTGTTTACTTTTGCGGTGCCGCTACTCCTACTTGTGATGTGCTGCACTGGTGAAGCTGTAGCCGCTGATGGAAGTAAAACAAGGAGTATCATTGATCCGTTCACAGGGACGACGTCGATATCATTTGCTAATTGGAAGGACTTTGAGATCAATACCGAAAGTGCTTCGCTCCGCGTTCCCAGCCTTGTTGAAGTGCAGGGTCATTTATTTGCTATTGCTGAAGCCCATTGCAGGGATGGAGGCGACTGCAGCGAAGTCGGCTTTACTGGGATTGCGTCAAAGTACCTTGGTTTAAATGTTGATTCTGGTCCGACGGAGATCTTGACGGCAGATGCGAGTACCTTTGGCGCAGACCTTCTAAAGGAAGGTTCTGATGGTATCAACATCAGAAACGGCATAATGCGACCAACGACACTTGTACTTGGGGACAGTGTTTATATGCTCCTGGGAAACTACAGCCATAAGAAGCCGCAGGTTGAAGGTACGAATGAGCGGGGTCTTTTACTCGTGAAGGGAACTGTCGCTGATGAGGGTGAAAAGAAGAAAATCAGATGGAATGAGACCCATTTGGTGAACCCTCAAGGAAAATCTCGTTTCTTGACCGAGTTAATTGGCGGTGGAGGATCGGGTGTTGTGATGCGTGACGGCACGCTTGTGTTTCCCATGCAGGCCAAAGGCAAGGACGGAACGAGCTTTTTACTGTCTATGAGTTTTACCCCGTCAAAGAACAAATGGGATCTTTCATACGAGACGCCTGGTAACGGCTGCAGGGATCCAACCCTTGTGAAGTGGGAAAAATACGAATACGGCGCAGAACTCTTCATGATGGCTCATTGTGCTGGAGGCTACTATGACGTTTACATGTCCACTCCGCATGGAGTCAATTGGAATGGACACTTCCAACCAATTACCCGCGTGTGGGGCAACTCACACAATCGAAAGGGGCACGGTGTCCAGAGTGGATCCACCACCGCAATCATTGAGGGAAGGGAGGTGATGCTCATCACCGCGCCGGTGTATCCGAAGGAGGAAAATATAGTTGGAAAAGGTCGGCTCCATCTTTGGGTGACGGACAAGGCACGTGTGTATGATGTTGGGCCGGTATCCCGTGAAGAAGATGACGCCGCCGCCAGCTCGCTGTTGATGAAGAAGAATAATGAGTTGATTTCACTGTACGAGAACAAGAAGGGTGATGACGGATCATACAGTCTTGTCGCCGTGCGTCTGACCGAGAAACTGGAGCGGATAAAGGAAGTTGTGAAGAAATGGAAGGATTTGGACAGCGCCTTTGAATCATGCCGTTCCGGTTCCAGCGCCACTGTTGATCCGATAGAAAAGGGTATGTGTAAAGGTACTGTTCCCACTGATGGGCTTGTTGGCTTCTTGTCTGGTAACTTCTCTGAGAACACTTGGAAGGACGAGTTCCTCGGCGTGAATGCAACCGTGACGAATGGGGAGCCAAGGGTTCGCAATGGATGGACGTTCAAAGGACCCGGGGCAGGGGCGGAGTGGCCTGTTGGCGACATGGGGCAGACTGTGCCGTACTACTTTGCGAACACCGAGTTTACTCTTGTGGCGACGGTGTCCATCCACGAGGTGCCGAAGGAAGACAGCATCCCTTTGATTGGCGTGAGGATGAATGACACCGACAGCACGGTACTTTTTGGTCTGTCGTACACCAATGACAAGAAGTGGTTGGCCATACCGGAGGATCCTGCTGGTAATGTGGAGGATTTTGTTAAGTGGGAACCAAACAGGACGTATCAGGTGGTACTGCGAATGGATGATGATGATGAATGGACTGTCTTTGTGGATGGAGAGGAAATTTGCCACACGAAATATAATGAGAGTCTGTTTGACTCGCACAGGATTTCACACTTCTACATCGGTGGGGACAGTAAGAACCAAAGTGCAACGGGCGGCCATGTGACGGTGACGAACGTCATGCTGTACAACGAGAAACTGTGGAGAAATGATCTGCACAAACTCCACGCCAGCAAAGTCACTATTCCATCACTGGGTGTCGAGAAACAATCCACAGAACAGTCTAAAGGGCAGGTGGCCAGCACAGACGACTCGGTTGCTCCCGAGTCAAGGAGTGAAGGGAGCGTCACCAGCCATGAGAATTTGACTGGGGATGATCTTGAAAAACAAGAGGAAGAAAGCGTCCATATTCTGGTGCCTGCAGCGTCCTCTTCCACGGTTGCCGCGGGATCATTTGTTTCCGAACTTGCCACCGCAACGGAGAGCGCAGGGAATTCTCGTTCAGAGGACAATGCCCAGCTTTCCGAAGGCGAAACGTCTCAGCAAGCCACGCCGCATGAAGGCAGTGAATCGATGCAGCGGGATTCAGATGTGCAGACACAAGACCTACAGTCAGAGGAGTCAACGGAGTTCAATGATGTCGAAGGATCCTCTGAAAGTTATGATACACCACAGCCAGAGGAGGATGGAGAAGCAAATGACAGGAGTGGCAAATCAACGTCTTCAGTGGCTTCGTCACTGTTTATGGAAACGGCCACCGAAACAGTTGACAGTGAGCACCAAGTGCAAAAAAGCACTGAGCCTTCCGCTGAAAACAACGACGTGCGGTCCACTGGAACCGGAACCACTGGCGCGGAGCAAAGCCTCGGCCTCGAGGCGGGGGACAGAAATTCCGAGAGAGCAATGGGCTCAGACAGCAGCCTCACTCCTTCAAAGAGTAACGCCGAACCGACATCCGCGGAGAACACCGAAGACGTCTCTCGGACTGGGGGAGCCGAATTTCCCGTTGAAAACGGCGAAGAGGTGCCACAGACAGTCGACACCGCACCGGAGAATACAAACACCACGCCTGGAGGCGAAGGGATCCCCTCAACAAAAGGCGCGGCACGACACTCGGACAACGACACCTTCACCGGGGAAATTGCGGAGTTGCTGTCCATGGGTCTGAGCCGTGACAGCACTGTGCATGTGTGTGTATTTCGGGTGTTGTTGCTGCTTCTTCTGCCGGGGCTGTGGGGCACTGCGGCTCTCTGTTGAATGAATTGGGGAGAGCAAATTTGCGAAATTCTGTGGAGCAACAACTGAGCGGCATCCCAGCAATACTCAATGAGTTTTGTTAATTCCACTTCCTTTTTTTTTTCTTGTTTTTGCTTTAATTATTTCGCTTATCTTGCTTGTTGCCTTGGGGCAACCACCATGGACGTTTTTTTCTTTTCTACTCTTCCCTCTTTTGTTTCTTGCTGCACTCTTCCTGTGAGGGGTGCCGTGTGTTCCCCGCCCAACTGCTCCACTCGCACACCCACCGACACGCTCATGACGACGGCCCTGTGCGCCTCGCCTGCTGCACGCATGAGGAGGGGCGGCGACGAACGGCGCGCTGAGGGAGCCGTGACGTGTGGGCGTGCGACGAGGGCCACTGGGGCGGAGCACATATTTCTTCCCTCTTGTTTTGTTTTTGCGGTCAGGGCGGGCAGACACCCGCAGCGCCACACACACAGCCACACCCTGCCGCCGTGTTTTTAAGATTTCTTTTTTCTTTTGCTGCGCTCACTCTCCCGATGGAGTGACGCGACTCCCGTCATGTCTGCGTGCTTCTCTCAGTCCCCACACACACGAGTGACTGTGCTCTGCGGGCCGCACTCACGCGCCGATGAGAGGACTGAGGGGAGCGCCAACACGCAGATGACCCATGAAATATAAACGATGTGCGGACACGCAGAGGGTCGGACGGTCGAAGCACACGTAGTCGTCTTTTTAATTTTTCTTTTCGGACAAAATATGCAAACGATTTGGTGGGCGCGCACGGTAAACAGTGAAATTTTTTTGTATGTGTTTTTTTTTCTTTTTTTTTTTTGTGTAGAACAGTAATAAAGGACGACTTTTTAAAAAATATGATTATTTTGTGCGAGGGGGTTAAAATATGATGAAAGGGAATTGTTTTTTCTAATTATTTTGAATAAGTCTTTTATGAATTGCCGCTGCTTGGTCTGCAGTCCTGTATCATGAGCTTGAGCAGTTTTTTTCTACTTATTTTTGCCATGCACTTTTGCTGTACAGTCTTTTTTGCGTGTCTCTTTAAATGCTCTGCTCCTCTTTTTTATTTTTTCGACTTGTGCTGCTGCAGGCAAACGCACACAGACACACAAAATACACATTGCAGTCGATTTGGATGCTTCTTTTTTATTGCGTGCGGGTGGCTGGCGCCTCCTTCTGTGGGCATGAAGCGAGGGGAGGAGAGGGAGCACGCACCGCGAGTCACTTTTCCTGCAGGCGTGATGCACCGCCTATGACCGCTTTGAGTCGGGCACCGAATCCCATTGTGGGTGGGATGGCTGGAAATGTTGTTGCCGCGTCATGGATGGATGAGGATCCGCTTCTGCGTGTGGCTCTTTGGGTGATTGCTCGCTCCGTGTGCGTTGTGTTTGTTTGCTGCGGGGCTGTGGCCGTATGCCGTTGTCCGTGGGATTGAAGTGGAGGCGGTGGCGGTGTGTCCCTTCTCCTCGTGCATTGGTGGATGACTGTTGGCGGTGTGTGAATTTGTTGTGGCTGCCGTCTCGCTGTTTACGCACACACTGAGATACAACCGCAGTGAAAGGCCACTTCTTTTCAGTATGGACTTATGCTCTTGTGCGTTGTGTTTGAGCATGCTTTTTATTATGCGCATGAGTGCCTTGCGTGTT